GACGAAAGAAAACTCGTGAGAAGAAAAAGCAGTACTAGATCGGGTTTGGACAGTCCTTCTCCAAAACAGATTTCCCCCAGACAGAGAAGAAGATACAGCACGAGTTCCAGTCCGCCCTTTAAGAAGCATCTCTCTCCCAAGGTAAGGAAATGTTTGTTGTTAGAATTATTCTTATCCAAACAAATAAGGTCATTGACCTGAACTAGATGTCTGTCACCATGGTAACTAGCATTGTAGCAGACACCTTGTGGTGTTGGGTTACATTATGTAGGACAGAGCTAGAGGGGCTGGTCACCATATATTATGTAAATATGTTTGAGTAAGGATGAACAGAGCAGTAGTTTGTTAGACCATGTGAAGGTAAATAGTATGTATTTGCTTTGCAAATGTTAGTTTTCTATACCCAATATTAGACTTGCTGACTACATAAGATATATTTTTCCATAATACAACAGACAAGACGAAGGTCCAGCCGTTCCAGTAAGTCCAGCCGTAGTCCCAGCCCCTCCCTGAGACAGTTTTCTCCAAGACTCATGCGGAGAAGTCTTCAAGAACTAGACTCCAGCAGCTCCGACTCGACCTTGACATCGCCGCAGAGGTCACCGAAGTTAAGACGACGTAGCCGGAAGCTGAGCAGGAGTCCGAGCCCCTCAAGACGTCATCGCTCTCCCCAGCCGGTTACCCAAGACGTGGAGGGGACGATGCAGGCCTGGAGTCGCACCAACAGCCCCGGACATCGGCGCTCCCCCAAACCCGTGGTCGGCATTGAGATCCAAGAATCTCGAACAGGCGGGAGAAGATCCAGAGAGGCTAGCAGAAGGGGTTCTCTATCTCCCACCACATTCCCGTTGCTAGAAAATGCAGTGTTAACCAGCACGCCGATCACGAAAGACGGGTTTCTCAGCCCCATGCACGGCCTCAGTAGAACTACCAGCCCCTCAGAAGCGCCCCCTGTCCCGACTATTGGTGTTGCAGTTGCAGGAGGCCGGCGACTGTCAGCTGCATCAAGCAGAAGTGGCTCTGGTGGGGTTTCTCCGACTCCTTCTATAGAAATCGAAGTTTCAGAGAGTAAGACCGGTGGTAGAAGATCGCGTGCCTCTAGTTCTGCCAGTTCCCGTGCCATGTCGCCCGCACCATCCATAGAAATCGAAATCATTCCAAGATCCCGGGCTTCCAGTTTCGCAAGTTCACGTGGAATCTCTCCGACCCCTTCCCTGGAGGTCGAGGTCGCCGAGAGCAGGACGGGAGGTTGGAGGTCAAGGGCGTCCAGCGGGGGAGCATCTCCAAGTCCTTCCATAATCCTAGACGAATTCGAAACAGTTGAGGAAGAGCCTGATTTGGAGAGAGGACCGGATTTGGCGAAAGATCCAGAATTCCACTTTCTTAGAGTTCCACCGAGGTATGTACATCATACAGTAATTCGGTTTCTGTAACATTAAGATTTTATGTTGTAAATAATGTGAAGTGTAATTTTAACTTTTCAAGTGTTGAATCCTCCGAGAAATTTGATATTGCATTGTAAGTTAGCAATAAGTTCAGATTTTTGAGTCTGCCAATGCTAATAAAGTTTCTTATGTGTATAAGGTTAAGTTTCGGAGGACATTCCAGACCTTCCAGTTCTGAGTACGAGACACCAGATGAGGAGCCACCTGAAAGGTATGTCTTATATCTGAAAGGAAACTTGTTTCTGTAGTTCTATAAACCTTTACTTTTAGTTTGTTTTAGAAAAGGGAGGTAACAAAGTTCTAAGGTCTAAAGCTACGCTTCACTCACAGACAGTATTTCTATGTAGTTCTGTATCTGTATCTGTATTGGTATAGCCGGTATAACCGCCTTTCGGCGTAACACACCAGCTTCGCAGGCACGCGGCGCGGCGGCAGCTAGCTATATCACACCGAACGGCTTGTTACACTCAATCTTTGCACATTTGATTGCAGGAGTTGTTTAAAGTTGATGTTGTTTAAATGTTAAGCAGCTATGGGAATTTTGGCAAGTTAAGTGTAGGCAGGTTGCCCAAACTACCAAGTTGATGTGGTTCTCCCAATCTTCATTCTTCACTTCAGACAAGAGCAGACAGGACCAGGCAAGCTCCAACTACCCAAACCACTGGCAGGTAGGTCAAAATGATGTTTTGCTTATTTCGATTTCAAACTTTGTTGCACAAACACTGTCTTAAAATGAATGAGAATATTTAAAAGCAAAATACTTAGTATACGCTTTGTAACCGGGAGGTCGTGAGTTCAAACCCCGACCGGGTCATTCCAAAGACTTTAAAAATGGTACACATTTCTTTCTCTGCTTAGCACTCAGCACATATGAGAAGGAGTGTGGGAAGGTCAAACACACAGCATTACCAGCGGGCTAGCCCCCTGCTGTAGTGCCCTGCACAACGGTGTGTCGCCCAAGGGCTACAGAAATGGACATGGGCACCACCCTACGCTCTGCATAATGGCATGGGAGACCTTTCTTTTCTTTCTTTCTTATAAGTTCTAAAGTTTGTCCCTTTCCCCCCCAGCTCCAGAGAGAGAAGGGTTCCATCCGAGCGGCCGGCGTAACCTCGAGGTTCAGACAGCCGAGTTCACCGAACCGCTCAAAAACCTGTCCGTCAACGAGGGGTCAGAGGTCAGGCTCGACTGCAGGGTCACAGGTCAAGTATTGCGCAACTTTTTTGAGAAATTTCAAACACTTCAAGTTTTTTTAGGAGTTTTGGACTGTTTTCAGTATCTGGCATCAAATAAATCAATTAATCAATCAATCAATCTTTATTGCGCAACAATTGCAATGGATACAATGTATGGCAAGTGTTTAAATCAAAAGATAACAACAATACTAAAATCTACTTCTAGATACCTTATTCTAACGCTACCCTATAATTGTGAGTGATGAATTATACAATATATATGGAACATGGATACAGTGTTAACATCAGTTCAAGGTGTCACAGATGATATTGTTTCTTTTCCGAAGAGCAGAGGATATGAATTGGCCTATATACAAGGATATTGGTTCAGGACATGACATCAGTAAATTAAAAGTATCTGAGCTTAATAAAATGGATCAACAACCCACTGCCCCTATGGCCTCAAAAAGGCTATGGGAATACCTGTGTTCAGACTATCATTTCATTCATTCTTTATTTGAAGAACGCATAAAAACATTGTACATTAAAAGAAGAGCCTAGCCTAGCCTTTGGCAGTTCAGTATCAGCAGACTATGAAAAGAATATGAGAATACAGGTTTAATATATACACAAAACAACATACAAGCAAACATAAACTAAGATAAACTAACTGCAGAGTAAACTGGAAACTATGTAAACTATGTTGTTCTGTTGTTGCTTCCCCCAGGTCTGCCGAAGCCCACAGTGTTCTGGTTTAAGGACGGGAGCGAAGTTCGGCCGCTCAGACTTGGGGCTGAGATCAGGGCTCAGGAGGATCTTCACACACTTTACATACCTGTAGCAGACAGCAGGTAAATAAAATTTCTTGTACAGTAGCTGGAATTTGACTACTAGATGAATAAATCAACCATAGGCATCATCAGGGGCTGATGGAAATTTGACTTGAAAATGAAAAAGAAGTCTTTACTCTTTTACTCTTTGTGATGCATGTTGAGTTGGGACAGCCTCTGGTTATCATATTCTCTCATTAGTTTTATGCTCACAGCAGGCCATAATTAATAATTGTAACTGTGCAATTTCCAGTCTTAGACTGGCAAAGAACAATCTATAAAGAGACTCAGATCTATCTAGTCTTCCAGAGAATAGATGATGATGTTTGCAGTTCTTATGGTATTGTCTTACACATACCTTATCTCCTTTACATATCAATCAATATATACACGTAAGTCTTTGTCATGTTCAACCATTTTATCAAGTTGCTCATACATATGTGTTAATTAGTAAGTGAAGAGGAGTGGTGAAAAACATCCAGAAATTATCTCCGTAACTTATGCAGTAGTAGAGTTTTGATTACCTATGAGTATGAGGATGTTGATGTTTGTTTCTTTGTTTGATGTTTTCAGCCACGAGGGCGTGTACATGTGTCGCACGGAGAACGCAGCCGGTGTGGCCACCTGCAGTTCCATGCTGCATGTCCAGGGGGCGCCGCGCTCCACCAGCTCAGGCGAGGAGCACGTCAGCAGCTGTATCAGCAGCTTCTCTCCCATGACCAACACTTCAGGGTACGACCTCTCAACTTTCAACTCTCGCACTCTCACCTTTGAACTATGGCACTCTCACCTTTGAACTATGGCATTCCACCTTCAAAAACTGCTGCATTTAATTTGTTCTGTTCTGAACGTGCTACATGTATGTTTTGGTGGCTAAGATGGCTTTTGGGCTCACAGAGAACTGAGGCCTCCTTGAAGTTTGAAATTCAAAAAGAATCAGTCAATTTCCATGACTTTTGATATCTGTTTTTTTAAATTCATCCCAAATGAATAAGAGATTGATTTTGACTTGTATGTCTGTGACTGACCATGCTTCTGAGACAAACTCAGCGGAGGGCTGGTGCACTCCGGAGCAGCTGTCGGATGTGGAGGGGGTGAAGTCTGCCATCTCTGATTGCCCTTTCTTATGTCCACAGAAGTTCCACCTGTGAGAATCTGACTGACCATGCTTCAGAGACAAACTCAGCGGAGGGCTGGTGTACTCCGGAGCAGCTGTCGGATGTGGAGGGGGTGAAGTCTGCCATCTCTGATTGCCCTTTCTTATGTCCACAGAAGTTCCACCTGTGAGAATCTGACTGACCATGCTTCGGAGACAAACTCAGCGGAGGGCTGGTGTACTCCGGAGCAGCTGTCGGATGTGGAGGGTTCTCCGGAGTTTATAAAGGAGCTGGAGTCTCTCCACGCCGTGCAGGGGAGCGCGGTCATCTTCGAGTGTGAGGTCACAGGGTCACCCACGCCTGCCGTCACCTGGTACAAGGTAATGAATGCCAGTTATGTTCTATCCCTTCCCCAGGATGGCCACTGGTATATGAATGGGGGGACCATGGGCTGAATGTGTGAGCATTGATGTCAACCAAGTGTGTAGCCATAAAAGGAACAAATGAACTAAGGGCAAAGAGTGGTGAATTAACCTTCTCACTGTCAAACTAGCTTTTTGGTATCAAATATGTATTGGTTTACAGGGTCAAGCAGCAGGGAGAAGGTTAGGGAGATCGTCCTTAGATAGCTCGGCTTTAAACAACCCATGGGGTTCGATGTGCAAGTCTAGGATTGTGGTTTATTAATTTAAGGTGCGACAATTAAGTCATTCTGCGTAACATGACTAGCTGCCTTGTTCTTGCAAAGCAGGTGTGTTTCACTTAAGGGCAGTTATACTAGCTATGCAGATACAGTAATAGAGAAATATCTCTTCGCTCCAGGACGGCCAGCCACTAGTAGAAGACGGGGACCACATCCATTACGAGTCCCGTGACGATGGTACTTTCCTCCTCACCATCATCGATGTACAGAACCAGGACGTGGGGACGTTACACCTGCAGGGCTTCTAACAGTGTTGGAGATGTGGTCACACATGCAGACCTGCTGGTCTCAGGTGAGAACTGCACACCTGTACACACACCTGTATACACACCTGTACACACACACCTGACTTACACCTGCAGGGCTGCTAATACTGTCGGAGATGTGGTCACACATGCAGACCTGCTGGTCTCAGGTGAGAATACACCTGTACACACACCTGTACACACCTGTACACATCCTCTACATACCTATACACACGTGGGGACTTACACTTGCAGGGTTATAATACTGTAGGAGATGTGGTGACGCATGCAGACTTGCTGGTCTCAGGTGAGAACACACCTGTACTAACATGTACACACCTGTACACCTATGTTCTTAAGCTTCAGTTCTCAAAAACACATAACATACTGCTCACAATTTGTAGTCACTGAGTAGTTAAGAAGGTTTTCTGGAATCCAGAGCAGTAAGTGGGATTTATAATTACAATCTTTAATGAGCAACAAGTTGTCTGGCCTTTA